TCCAAATGTGTTTCAGACTATACTTTTTCTACGTTTTTAAAAATACCATACACAAATTATTTAATTGGGAGAAAGTGAGGTTGTTAGATAATAAACAGAGATGGCGACACTAGTGCTTATTCGGTCATCCCATGATTTAATTTCATTCATTTCAAAAGTGAAGTTAGAACTTTCATATTCCGTAAATAATAAAAGTAGAAAAAAAGGTTTACGATTTTCGTCAAATTTAACCTTTTGAAAAGACATACATTTGGCAGAATTTGTATAATGGATTATTTTTACCCTGGGTGAAAAATCTTCTAGCGATTCACGTCGAATAAATATCAATGCCTCTGGGATTTTTTTGGTAAAATTAAGCAATCAATCTAACGTACAGTTACGGAAAGAAGTAATGTCCATTTGAATGCTCCATTGTAATTGTTCGGAGGCATTCGGAAATGGTCAACATCTGCCTCTTAGGGATTTATTTAAAAATATGTTTATATTTAGAATTTACTACCTGCTCGTATTGAATTAATTATTTTGGGTACCTATGTTACATATTTAACTGTATTTTTATTAAATCGTTAATTTTTTGATATATTTTTGTATAGTTTTATAAACATTTATTCTAGGAAAAAACTTTTAATAAGAACTTTTTAGGCTATAAATTATATTATCAAGTTGTAGTTTTTTAAAACTTACTTTACATTTTTCAGAACTAGCAATGATTCAATACACTATTTTAGGAGTAAAAACAAATTTTATTATTTGTTGCACTTTTATGTGTTAAAATTAAAAACATACTCTCTAAAAATTAATTAGTCAAAAATTACTAATTTAATAGTTAATAGTGGCTGCTTTTTCACTTGTACCATGGTTAACCATGGAATACCATGGTATCCCAAAACTAAATAGCCAATTCTTATGTAAAATTATCCCCTGAATCCGAAAATACCGTCAAAAGTTAAAAAAGTAGAACAGTTTTTGAGATATAGTCAATTTTCTATTTAATATGGAATTGACTATATCTCATAAACTGCTTCACTTTCATAATTATTGATGTATTTTCGGATTCAGGGGACAATTTTACATAAGAATTGGCTGTTAAATTTTGGGATACCATGGTATTCCATAGTTAACCACGGTACAAGTGAAAAAGCAGTCAATAATAATTAAAAATTTTATATTTGGTATATTTTTAAATTAAATATAGTAGGATTTATCAAAAAATGTTTAATATAATTATAATATAAAAGTTAACATACCTATAAAACTATAACTTACATATAAAAACTATAAAACATATAAACATAAATAGCTATAAAATTATAAAATATATATTATATAAATATATAAATATTATAAAACTATAAAATATATATTATATATTTCTTCATATTTATTTATTGCTCTTTTATTATATGTAGGTTAATGTGTAAAAAATTATAAAATATTTATTCTTTAAAGTTATAATAATATACTCCGGCGCCGTTAAAATTATCATCGGCGCACACGTCGCGTATTTAGGCATAATTAGAGGTATAAGTTAATACTTGCCGAAAGGGCTAATCCTCATCCGGCTTAATAAGAAAAGATTACAATACCTATAGATGTATAAACAGTTCTTCCGGACTAAAATGTTAAAAAGTATTTTAATTTAATTTCATATTAATATTTTAAACGTAGGACAAATTATTAAATATTTGATAAAAAATATTATATAATTATTGGACTTATAAGTATAAATACCAAAAAATGGTCCTGTTAAAATGCAAGCTCTTAATATTACATTTACAGGTCCCTCATCGGGAATTTTTATTTCCCATTAAAATAATATGAGATTTTTTAAAATACTTTAAAATTGTATAACTCGTAAACGGATTAGTAAAACTAAAACAAATTTTGGTAGGGCTCTTTTAAAAGGTATTCAAGGTAAAAGTTGAATTTATAGAAATTTTCAAGATTTTCAAACTTTTTCAGCAAAACAAAATTTATGGTAAAATTTAGACCCTTTTTTAGGAAAATATTATCTAAAACCATAAGCAAAAAAAGCTGCCTTTTTATTTAAAAAGAAATGGTAAATAATTACATTAATAATTATAATTGAAGCATGGCATTCCCAAAGGGTTTGGACCCAATTTGGTCAAATATTATATTATCATTTAAAAATAGTCTATGTGCCATGCAAAACGACTAAAAAAATATTTTCCATATTATTTTTGTATTTTAAAGATGAATGGATTTTCATTGATTTCACACAATTTTATTTTTGACACTTAGACCCTTTGGGAATACCAAGTTCAATTATTATAATAATTATAAATTTTTGCCGTTTCCATATTTTATTGGATTTTTATACATTAAAATAAGTTGGTATTGGGCAGATATTTCATAAAACAAGAAATGAAAACTAAAATGTTGATAATAGTATATTATTATACGAGAGATAATGCAGGCTATTATTCAAAAGGATAAGGTTTGCATGTCGAGCCGTCAGGCGAGAGACGTAATTCATCCGAGTAAATAATGCGCATTATTTCGAGTGTAATACTATGTTTGTTCTACTTCAATTAAGAAATTTTCATTGATAACAAAATTTATTTATTATAACCTCACTTTTCTTCTATTTTAAAGATCATTATAGTCGCCCCTCGTATATATAAATAAATCTGACATCTGTCAACCTTACTTTTTTCTAATTTAAAACCCGATTGTTTCAAATATCAGTGAATATTAAAATAAGCCAATCACTGATACCTACAAAGTAAATATAATTCACTTTGATAGACCGGGCGGTTATATTGGTTACCATTATTTACGCAAAAAAAAACAAAAAATATCAATAATATGCAATAGAAGTAGAAAAACGTATTAATAGTGCACAAAATGCATTTTAGTTTAAAATTTTAATGTGTTTAATTTACATAGTAAGAATAAATATTTTAATTTATATTGCCCAGATAACAAAAAATCACATAAAAAGGTAAATACATTAAAGAGGGTTATTAACAATTTTATTTGCAAAATTATGCAAAAGTTTATAATTATTTTAGTATTAAATGTCTATATTTCATTTAAATATATTATTTTATTAATAACAACTTATTAAATAATATATAGTTTATTTAATAAGTTATAGAACATAATATATTATATTATATTTAAACTATTTCAGAATCAATGTTATTCCTTAAATATTTAATTATTGCATAAAAGCTTAAAAGTCAAATGAAATGTGCCTAGAAAGAATGGTAAATAGCAGGTAGGTAGAATTATTGAGTTTAAAAATAGATATGTTAATTTTATTACCAAAACCCGAATGCCTCCGAACAATTACAATGGAGCGTTCAAATGGACATTACTTCTTTCCGTAACTGTACCTATTACTTTACACTTTAAGGTTTTAAGAGTTTCCATAGAATGTATGTATGTATATAATTTAATATATGCTTGTGAGGCATCAGGCACAAATTATTTCAGGTTTTTTATAGCACATATTTCAAGAAAATATTTTTTAAAGTTACATTAAATGTTACAAATTTTGGGTTTATGGGACTTTCATAAAAATAAACAAGAATAATTAATTTTTAAGCTATCAACTATTTTTTTTTCGAGTTTGGTACGAAGTTCGAAGTACGAATTTCTATGGGAAAACTGTATGAAATAACACTTCTGCGCGTGTTATTTTCCATAGATTCTTTAAAAAATTCGATTACTTATTACGGTATATTTTTTATGGAAATTGTCATTTCAAATTCCGTGCTGCCAACTCAAGAAACACAAAATATGACAATTTTAATAAAACCTTACTTTTGCCATTACAACAACAAATTAGCAATTTATGTTTGTATTTAATTTGGTTTATAGTTTTTAATCATACTTTAATTTGTAATAAAGTAGAAACTTGTTAATTAAAATACAAAGTTTTATTTTTACTACATTGACACCGTGAATTTGCTGTCTCGGTCTACTCTTATTTATTTATCAAACTCTTCAAATGAAAATACTACCTTAAGATTCAAAAGTCGGCAAAATCTTCGAAAAGTCTACATTTTAATAAAAATCCGCCCTTCCCATAACAGAAATATTCGGTACGCCCCTGACTGTAGCAGATATTCTTTTTATCAAACCTCTTAATCTTCAAAAATAGAGGGTAAAGCTCTGCAGATTATTTTTTAAACATGATTTTAAAAAATCTCTCAAATGTACCAATATTAAATTTTATTTTTTTCCTGATAATGGTTTTTAATACAAAATAATTATAAAACTTTATTATATTATGATATATTCTTTTAAGCGATTTATCGTATGTATATGGTAGTGATTTTAATCAGATGCATGTTGATGCATTAAAAATAACTGTAAATCTTTTGAACTTAGTCATTTATTAAAGTCAGTTATTATTTTTCCCACATTTTCTACATAGTTAATAAAAATATTTAAATGTGTCAACAGATTTATAATATTATTCTAATTAATTAATATAAAGTGATTTGCATATAAATCTAGTAAATATTCATTAAACATTCTTCATCATAAATATCAACAACCTATTGGTCATTTTATAATGGAGTATTTTGTTCATTAACTTTTTTAAAAACAGTTAAAAATGTTTTTTTATAATGAATTACATAAATAACAAAAATTAATCAAGTGATATTGCCGTCAAACATTCATTAATACATTTGGGTTTACATTAAAAATTATAATCATTTTTTGTAAAACTGGTTTCAAAAATATATTTCTGTATTTATATATAAAACAAGTTAATTAATTTTTTTTTAGTTAAAAAATGTTTGAGATTAAAAGGATTAAAAAGTAAAACACATTTTAATACATCAGTCAAATTTATTGATAATAACTTTAAGTTATATTAAATTTTTTTAATAGATATACAGAGATCCCTGATAAGACAGTATTTACAATATTTTTTTATACACTGGTCCTACATTTATCAATAATTTATACAAAATATACATATAGATGCGTTTTACATAAAAATTAAATATATTACTTATATGCCATCAAAACGTAGCAACGAATTGTGAATTGCACAAAATATTAAATATTATTCACAGTCAAGGATACGAGGCCTCCAAAAGTAAAACTAAAGGTGCTTTTACATATTAGAGGTATTTTTGAAGGCGCCATAGAAATAAATATACAATATAATACAAGAACAGCAATGGGTAAGTACTATCAATAAGCCGTAGCTGCTCCCGAATGAGAATGATGATGAATATTTCCAAAACCTAAACCTCCCAAATGGTCCGTTGTTGGAGGAGTGGGTTGACAGGCCACGTACCAATCGCTCAGACTCGTACTCCCCGGAACTTGAGGCGCCTGGATGTGAGGACTCGCCGCCACCGATATGCTTCCCGCCGACGAGGAGTTGCTCTCCTCCCCATCGCTGTCGTAATGAGGAGGCGACCTTCCAGAACATCCGTGGACCTTCATGTGTTTCCTGAGGGAGGAGGGGTGGGTGTAGGACTTGTCGCAACCGGCCACGCGACAGTTGTAAGGCTTGTCGGACGTGTGGACGTGCGAGTGCTTTTTCCTGTCGGAGGAGTTCGCAAATCTCCTATCGCATCCTTCGTACTCGCATTTAAAGGGTTTCTCGCCTAGAAAAAAAAGAAAAGGTTAGTTAATTGTTTCAAAAAGTAGATTTAACTTTAATAATTAGTTTAGCAACAGTGCAAAGGGGAATGGGATGAAACCTAAAGCAAATGAAAGGTAATAGCTTGAACAACAAAACCCTATTAGGTTGTTTTTAGATCACGTCTCAGTTGTTTATTATACGCATTTAAAGTTGGTAGATTTTTGGACACTCTATACCTAGTAGAAAAAAATAAGTAAAACAATTTTAATTTTTTTAAACTATTCTGGCAATATAGTCGAGGAATCCATTTTTTATGTTAATTTTTACTTGATCTACAGTAGGGGGCGCTGTCACACAATTGTTGCTATTTTTAAGTATTTTTATTGGTATAATGATATTTTTATTATTTTTGTTGTAAATATATACACTTCAACCTTCAAAGCAATATTTAATATTTTTGAAATATTAGTAAAGAAACATATTTTTTTAAGGAAAGAGCATTTTTACTAGAAAATTTGGCATTTTTATAAAAAAAATATTCTCTTTAATGCTTTAATCCAGAAACATGTTATTATTTTTAAATACAATACTTGTATACAAAAACTACAATTTGTTGTGGTAATATATTGTAATATATCAATGGTATTTTTGCAAAAGGGCGAATATGCCATTTTCCTGTTTTGAGGAAAACAACAAAAAGTATTTTTCTACATCTATTATGGAATATGACCGTTCTAATATCACTTTTATCTATGGAATGACATATATTCCGTAAAGTGTTACAGAATGAAATATTCTATCATCTGATGACAGAATATACACTCGTGGCGACATCTCTGTTTTAAATATCTAACAAATTTTAGACCGATCCAACCTCACTTTCTACCAATTAAATTATTTGTCTACGGTATTTTTTGGAAACGTAGAAAAAGTATGGTCTGAAACACGTTTGGAATTGCATATTCCCCTCTCGTGAAACCGTCAAACTCGCCTTCGGCTCGTGTGACAAACTTTTAACTCGAGTAGAATATGCCGGATTCCAAACTTGTTACAGAATATACTATTCTGCATGACCTAAAAAAGAAAAATGAATATATATATATATATATATTATATTATTTTTTTATATATGTGGACAATATAATATAAAACAAAACTTAGTTCCAAAATATGAAAATGTAAAACAATTGTACCTACAATATTACGGAATACATAGAATATGTTGAAAAGTTTTGCAGAACTTGTAATAACAATTTAATTAAATGGTCACAAAAGAAAAAGAAAACAATGAAATTTGGTGTTTATTTATTTTTATGTTTTAATGTGCTTTCAATAGGCACATGCCCAATTACAAAAATACACAGACAAACGCAAATAAACAGCCATACCCCTGGTGGGATTCGAACCCACGACCTCTCGGCAGCGTTGACTACTACACCACCGAGGGAATTTTTTTTATTTTTATATTAAAACATGGATTCTCTATTCAAATTTTTGATTATATTGATTAGATTTGGCATTTTTATCAATTTTTAGATGAACTTCTGGTATTTCAACTCGTGTTACTGCCGGTTAGAGCAGTGATAGTTTTTAAATAAAAATAAAATAGCGAATTTAATAATGTTTAGTTTAAGAAGTCAATTTTTATTTAAAAAAGTATTTTTTTTCGTAAAAATGCTATTTTTTCTTAAAAATAAACAAGTTTTCTATACTAATAAATCAAAAATATTAAAAATTGCTTTTGAATATCACCTAGGGTATATTTTACAACAAACGGATGAATGGATTTCTCACCTTCAAAAATAGTAAATATACCATTTTTCCAACAAAAATACGTAAAAGTAGCAACAATTTTTTTATAGCGTCCTCTTCTGAGGGTCTTTGGTAAAAATTAACATCACAAATCGATCAAATTGGCAAAATTATTTTTTTTTTTCCTACTAAAGGGTGTCAAAAAATTTGCCATCTTTAAATGCGTACAAAAAATAACTGAGACGTGACATAAAAAAACCCTGATAGGGTTTTCTTGTGGAAATTATTAACTTTCATTTGCTTTTGGTTTTATTTCATTCCCTTTCGCAAACCTTAATTTTGTATCACAATTATAATTAACATGCAGAAATGTTTGTTCTTATGCAACTTTTAAGTAGTTGATACTTTTATGTAAATAGTTCTGGCTTGTGGTTTAATTTGACTTCGAGATGCCTTAAACTTCTTAAAGATGTAAAAAGGCATATAAATATCCATAAAGGTTCCTTATAGTTTCAGTGAAAAGAAAAGAGGAGCCGTAGTTTATCGCATTTTGTCCGCATCAACAAATTCTCTCTCTTACTTGTGAGCTGGTGGCCGAGTGGCAACAGAAAAAAACAATAAAACGAAATTTACTACAGTTTTTTCTGTGAAGTAGGTATTGGCTTGACACGTGAAGAACTGTTTTATTTATGTTCTTTACCTGAGACCGATGTCCATCAAATAAAATACAACAAAACCCGGTGGTTTACATGTGTTTAATGCGTTCCAAAAAGGTAGAAGCTTACTTTTAAATTTCATAATTTACGTGAATGCAACACTTTTTCCTGTATGTTTTTGTTTAAGCGTGTTCTACACATGTTTTTCGTATTATCGCGTGCTCCGCTTTGACGGATTGGGTTTATTTGTTTTCTGGCGTGTTCATACTGAAATAACTACTTAATTTACAACTGACTGTTTTTAATACGTCACTTTTAATGTGTTTTTTTATTTACGCACGAAAACGTTAAACAGCTCTGACTATGATAAAAATATTTTAAATGTTTCATTTAATTTGATTGATTGATTATTCTAAAAATATCAAATACTTATTTGCCCAAAACATTGCAATGCATTTTTACCTCGAAGGTAGGCCTAAAATTGTGACGTTCAAACTATGATTAATGCTTTTTAACAGTACCTAAGCATATTCAATAGATCCTTGTGATAGGCCAAATGAAAATGTTGCAAATTATAAATGATCCTAAAGATGACTAACATTTTTCGGCATTTTTTTACCGGACAACTTTATGTTGTCTAATACTCTTGTGGTTAAAACACAAAAAGTCAAAGTTTGAAAAGGGTTTCGAATAATTAACTCTGAAATGGACACTTTTAATTTAATTTTACGCTTACTTTAAATTCCCTTGCCACGGTTTTACCGCAAAATCAACAAAATACGATTTAATGCTTCCTTGAATAAATTTTTGAAGTGTTATGGTTTAACATGAAGAAGTATTAAATTGGATTATAGGAATCATAAAATATGCATCCGAGCAACGTTTATTTCACTGTCCTAGTTGAAAAATCTAACCGTCGGAAAACTGGTCATTCTTACTTAATTCGAGGCCAAGGAATTCAGTGCTGACATCTTTTTTGCTAGGTTATACTACGTATTTTTAAAACAATTTGTACAAAATGTGGATTCATAATTCGGTTTTCTCGTACCAAAAAAACCCCAATACAGATTTTTATAGCGATTTAGTGAAAAACACACTAATTCGTTAAAGAAAACGTTGTATGAAGTCATGAGCCACCTTAGCAAAACGGTTGTCACCACTGAATTTCTTGGCATCAAATTAGATAAGAGTTTTCACACGGTTAAAAAAAATAGGACAGTGTTTTTGATTTGATTGATACACGTTCACACCAAATCGAATGTGATTTTCTCTAAAATAGAATGCGTTTCAAAAAATGCTTGTAAATCGAGTGCCTACCTCTCGTATAATAAAGATTAATCAATTTAACGTGTGCCCCAATCACAAAGGCCTCATTATTTCCATACGTCTTCCATTATGTGCTAGCCATTTGTCATGATTACATTGTGCTCTTGGTGAGGCTCCATCCGCTTTTTTAGCCCAAATCGCAAATATGCGAAACCGATTTATAAACATGCATTTCCGAAATTTACAAAAGGAAATCTATCATCTAGTTTTGACAATAGAAATGAAAGAAGACCATTAAGAACTTGTTAAATCCAATTTTATATAAGTTTGTTATAGTATTTCTTGAATTGATAAATTGATATATGCAAGGGCATACCAAGAAGTAGAAAAAATAATTTGAGCCTAGCAATATTAGATACTTTCAAGCTTTAACCAGATAATTGTAAAATAGATGAGATGGGCATTATATAAATTTATAAAGCACTGTTTGGTGAAACTAATATATGTTTATTTACATTGCATTTATCTAGGATCTAGGCTAAGCACCTATATAATTTATGACACAGCAGCCTAATAAAAACACATTCGCAACTTGATCCTTTTATGTGTGCATGAAAAAGGATTCCCTTCTTTTTTTTTGTTAACCAACCCTGAAGCTTCGTCTCATCCCCTCGAATAAAACTGGCTATTTATCAACTGTTGTTCGTGTGACAAACTTTCTATTTTATTTTTAGGTTGGTCCTATTGTCGCGGCACTACACAATCGTCAGAATTATATTGGCAACGTAAATATCGATAAATATGGCTCCCATTGACCGTCTAGAGGTGAAAAGTCGAGTGAATCTTTTGTTGGGTTTAAATCCGGTTCTTGATTTTGAAGAAAATAGTTTTTCGGTAATACGTTCTTAAGTATTCGGCAGTTTGATTTGATTTATTGCTCTTTTGTTAAGTATATTTACGATTGCAATAAAATTTATTGATGCAATAAAGTTGCATAAAATTACAATTTTATGGGTAATATCTTAAACGCTTTACAAGATTTTGGAGAATTAAAACTGTTATTATCTTCATTTTAAAGCTTCTCAAAACTAACTAAATCATAATAAATAAAAGTATGTATCTCAACCTAATTATGCAAACGAAAATTTAGTGCCCCAACATGAAATATAGCGATGACCTTTTTCTTTAAACCAAAATACATTTGTAAATCAAAGAACTGGTCGTTGGTAAATGATGAGAAGGCATGAGAGAGTCAAGAAATTCACATGGGATTTTGGCCCGCGCGCGTCGGGACTAACCCGGCGCATTCCAATGTCGACCGTCAGGGGGCGCAGGGGTGTAGGTGTGC